TGTGTGTGTGTGTGTGTGTGTGTGTGTAGTTGACTACGTAATAGCGTATATATAAAAAAATTATTTCTGTTAAGCTTTAATTACATCAAATTTAAGCATTAGGCACAAATAGGAACCCTAGAAAAGCAATCAAAAAGATCACCAAAACATTGCCACCCATACTTGGATTGTTGAGTTGTCCATTCAGGAATCTCAAATCCTCGAGCCCTATCTCAAAACACATTTTGTAGCTCCTCAACATTGTATGTCCCTGCATACAAAAAATGGGGTTAGTCAAAGCTCCAAAAGGAGATTCCAGGACACAAGAGATGTATCATAACTAATAGACTCTTGCGAAGAATTGTATCCATCAGTCAAGAGGGCAATGGTCTTAAATACTTATCAAATCTCAGGGACATGGTCTAATCATGAGGGTAGTATTTTATCATGGTGTCGGATCCTAAGTTTTTATGTATTCCTTCTTAATCATTTCCTAGAATGGAGGTTACAAACCAGCCCATGAACAAATTTAACTAGTTAAGGTCAAAGCCATAGATTTTCATCACCTAATAAGCTACTGATTATAATACATAAAAGATGCTTCCATAACAAATCAGTAAATAAAAAGATAAATATTTGCAATATCATCGTACTCTTGATAACAGCTTATATTAGAATGTTTTATTTTCAAGATTCACATGTATTGATGATCATTCTTAGAGACAATCAGAAACTGAAGAAATCAAACAATGTATTCCCATTTACGTTTTCACTTGCTATGTCTTTTCTCCAATCTCACTATCGGATCAACCGCTAAATATACATTATTTTGAGTTTCAATAAGAGATTAAATTAGTTTCACAGCTTATGCATAATTCATGCCATGTTTAGTTCATATAGAAAAGCAATTGGATCTCGATGACAATGTAAACCATATCAAGAATGGAAGCAATATTCAGTAAATCCCAATACAGAAGATCAAAATAACATACTTTAGTATAATCTCTCCAAAATACACTAATAATTCAAATCTGGACATACTAAAAAAAACCTACTTCGACTTCCTCGTCGTCAGGATCATATGGCATTGTCCTCTTGCTCTGATCTGATAACATTGGTTTTAGCCAAATAGCATTCAATCAGCAAAGAATTTAAACATATCTTTCTTAACCAACAGTAATCAACAAATCGAAGAATAATTAATTCAACAAAATAGAAAAATGCTTGAAAATAAAATATCACCTGAATAGGCTTCTTGAATTTGTTGAAATTTATTCTTAACCTCACCAAGCTGTGTATGTTTGTTAGTCCATTTATCTAGATGCCATTGATGCAACAAAATTAACACGCAAAAGTTATAACTAAACACATTCTGAACGATATATTGCCATTTAACCAAGATTTGAGAATTATAGACCATTATCATTCAATTTTCACACATCCGCCAACCAACCCATCCCTCAAAGCAAAAATTAAAACTAAAGAAGAATCAAGATTGTAAGTTTTGAATTTTTGAGAATTAAAAGGTTTTTTGATAAGCACTACCAAAATGTCTTGTATTCGAGAAAAAATGAAAATCGTCTTCGCTTAGATTAAAAAAAGTCAAGATTAGTGAACTGTAATAACATATGGCCAAGAAATCAACAAAACGGAGAAAAGAACAGTAGTCCAAAATCTAGAGAAAAAATGAAGTTTACCACAAATCAAACCATTAGTGATTCCGATGGCTATGTAAATATTTAGTTGGCATCCCTAGGTTTTGGTAAATTGAATCTGATATATTAATTACTTACATGTAGATTCTACAATTATAACCAACGTTTTTCTCTTTATACTACTTAACGATCATTATCAATTTTCTTCTCTTTATACCACATCAATTTTTCTACTTCATTTTATCTAAACTTATTAGTTACCTTCTTTTTCTAGACTCTTGGTTATGCATTAAAACTTGCTCAATTTTATCTATTTTCGAAACATCTATAATTAATTAATTACATGTAACCGCTGCAAATTTCTCTTTTAACATTAAACAATAACATAACAGATATTGTCCACCGAGTGTTTGATACAAGCGTCAACCATTATAGCACCTTAGAAACTAATGCTAGTTCTAGTCCTCAACCATTTGATGTCGATTCGTTTCCACGAGAACCAATGTCTTGAAATTGCATTATCTTGAATGTTTGTTTCATGACCATCCCCAATATGATTCTTTGATGATTTCAGCTCATCAAGTTTTCTCTTCAATTTGGAAACCTTTACATAAATTATGTGCACAGAACATAGATCACTATAAAAGGTAAGAACCTTGACTTGAGTAAGCACAAGATACCCTTTTTGTCCCTTACAAGTGCAAAACTTATGGACCTATCAATTGGTATTAATGGGGAGATTGATGCTCTTTTTAGAACACATCCTTGCATTTGTTAGTCAGATTGGTTACAGAGAAGATCAAGCAATAGTATTTCTCAACACACAAAAATAGACATTTATCTGATAACAAAACAAGAATTATTAATTCCATGAGCAAGCAATATAAATTAATTCCATTTACAAAACTCGTATACATATATAATCTACTTCAAAAAGTTTCGATTAACTTTAATTAAATGGAGTAAAATGATATTTTATTTGTAAGTTTGACGTCACAAAACTATTCAATATTTTTGCTATTGATATAAATTCAATGAAATTTCAATACCCTTTTACAAGCAAAGATTGGATGATGAATCTTGGGCCGCCCTGCTAATGGAAAAAATGGCCTTGGAATATTTAATGACAATAGACTAAATCTAGTAATTGCACCTCAAAAATCTCAATTTAGAAAAAAAAAATCAATTTTTCCTACAGAAATAGTAATATTAAAAAATGGGTAATCCTATCCAATCCCAAAAATCCAATCATTTAATTAAAACTAAAATATTTCCAATAGTTACAATCAATTTAATAAAAGAACTCATTATTCCCTCTAAGAATAATCAAATTCTAATCAATACCACACTGCAATAATATATAGTACAATTAATTACTTAAAGATAAAAGGAAAAAAAATATAAACAAAATTCATACCTTTTGAGGGTCCACCCACCATGATCACAACAACAACTCTTTTTCTGAACTTCCCATTTTCCCACCAAAACAAAGCAATACCCAGATAAAATTCTCTGTGGAACTTTCTAATAATTGAACACAATTCCAAATTCTACAATATGTGTAGACTTTGGAGTTGTGTTCAATTATTACTTTCGATCAATTAATTCCTCAGTGAAACCTAAAAATTTTGAATGGATTATTTACAGGAGGGAAAGAGTCTAATTATGGTTGGAAGACATTTGGCAAGAAGCTGGAGAAATAGCATTATAAGGTTTCTATATAAAATCAAAGTGTTAAAAGAAAATATGTATATACTAAATCAAGAGAGAGGTCTTAAACTTCACATGATAAGAAGCAATGAAAGCAAAAATTGTTGATTCAATAAAAGGTAGGAGTAAAAAAGAGGAGAAGAAAACATACACAATCATGAGATTTTCCAAAATAAGTAAGAAACAGATTGACTCGGTGGCGCTTTCTCCTCTATAAGCCAATTTCAGTGCATCTTTTGCCTGCAAGACCATCGCCATTTACCACCTACAAAAAATATAAGGTATCAAATGGATAGTCTTGAACATGAATACATAATTAACAATTGAGTCTCATTGCACAGGTTATTCGAGAGCCAATCTTAAATTCAGATGAAATTGATAGCTTGAAAGGCATTACTTGGCTCGAGATCTTATTCAACTAGCGGAAAAATCAATTGTAGTAAAATCAGCATAAACAATTACCTCTCTAGCTGTATCAGCATTATCTAAGGAAAACCCATAGTTTCTTTAATATGGCTTCTTCTAAAGTCAACACACGTAGCATGTCCTCAAATTCATCTATTTGCTTATCAGTCAATGTTCGCTCCACTATAAGAAGCATAGGATGCAATTCGTGTAATGAACATGTCGAATTATTCAAAATAAGTAATCGTTCAAAATAAGATATAAGACCATACTTTAGTGAAAAGCATAAGAACTAGAAAAGTACCTTACAACCTGATAAGCATATCAAAAAGAGCACTTGGACCAGGAGGAACATGCATAACATGACTTCTATCATTATTATTCACAGCAACAACCGGTGCCTCAAGCTTCTTGGGCTTTCTCTCATCTTCCTCACCAAAGTTAACAATATCAAGAGCTACACTGTTCTTTTTCAATTTCCTTCCAATCATCTCCAACTCATTGTCATATTTCACAGGACTAAAATCACAAGAAAAAATGAGAATTGAGCCTCACTGTCTTGGGCTATAGCCCAAGCCAGCCAAGCCCTAAATCCACCTCCGTGTGAAACCCATAGCTTGTACTTACTTTTAAGTTTTAACAAATAACTTTTTTTAAAAAAATCACTTTCCACGAAATCTATTCTCAAAAAATCTCTACAAAATAGGGGTCAAGTCTATTAATTCCCGTACACTTGATTTAACTTTCATACAAAATTTTAAAATTGAATTCAGAAGAAAGAGATGAACACTAAATAACAAATCAAGGACGTTTGATTAGTTATTTTTAAAATTTTGTAAAACATTCAAAACTATGCCATTTGATAACTTTTGGTGTAGATTGTACAAAGAGATTTTAATATAAGTGCTAGATGATTCAAGAGTATCTCTAAAGCAATTGAAATCACTTTAAAATTGTGTCACACGATCAAAGATAGACTATAAAAAACTCTTTCCAATGCTAGCTAACAAAAACACGGTTAAGTTGACATTATGCACAAAAAATAAAAAATATCTAGAGCTCCGTCTAGATTCAGAGCTCTGTTAGACGGAATGACATGATATCTGAATTTAGAAGCTTTGTTAAACTGAATGACTCGACAGAATTAATATTTTCTTTTCTAATTTAGATTTATATCCATATTTAGATGTGGTTTTATTTTTATTTTTAAAAAAATAGAAGGACATGTAAATGTTAATATTTATTTAATATTTTGATTTATATCCATATTTAGATGTGCTCAGTCAAAATAATATTTATTTAATATTTTGATCATAATATTGACCTAGCTAAAATCATATCCACCCCCTCTATTATATTATATAGTTGATACTTGATAGTGCAAATCTGAGTAGATTATGGTTTAATTTAGTGTGGCTGTAGATTTTAAAAGAACTAACTCTAAAAGTGTTATTGTATGTTTCAAAATTGGCATTTTGATGTATGTTAAACAATTATTTTTTATTATTATGTCTATTATGAAAAAAAGGAGGAGAAGAAATGAGAAGAAATGGTTACCAGAAAGCTGTGAACTGGTGGAAGAAAGATCTGATCCGTTTTCTTTTTGTTCATTACTTTAAATATATAAGGTAGTAGCTTTATGTGTCTATTCCAACAGACCTTTTATCCTGAAATTTAGGGATTACATTAAAAAATATAGACTAAATATGACAGCTATTGAACCAGTAGTACAGCTATCCTCTCTCTTTCCAATGACCCGTGCCTTCTGCAGCATCAAAAATTCAAACATTTTCTCAATACTTCCCCTCAAGATGGAGATGCAATTGAATAAATCCCCATCTTGCCTAAGAGATAGTGGAACTTCTTTGAACCAATTGCCTTCGTCATCACGTCCGCAACTTGTAAATTTGTTGAGATGTGAAATGTCTTTATCAAACCGGTCTGTATTTTCTCCCTCACAATGTGACAATCAATTTCTATGTGTTTGTTCTCTCATGATAAACTGGGTTTGAAGCAATATGGATTGCTGCTTGATTATCACAGAACAATTGTATTGGTTTCTCAATAGGTATGCCAAAGTCATTCAATAGACTTTTAAACCATATCAACTCGCAAGTCGTTGCAGCCATTGATCGATATTCTGCCTCAGCAGAGGATCTAGACACAGTCCTTTGTTTCTTTGACCTCCATGATATCAAACCATCTCCAAAGAAGATACAAAATCCAGTAATGGACCTTCTAGTTTCTGGACAAGTGCCCCAATCTGCATCACAAAAGGCAGTCAGATGAAGTTTACCTTTTGCTCGATAAATTAATCCTTGTGATGGGGATGCTTTCAAGTATTTTACTACTCTTAATGCTGACTTCCAATGCACATCTCTTGGTTGATTAAGATATTGACTTAGGGCCTGTACTGAGAATGAGATATCAGGCCTAGCTATTATTAGATAAAGCAGCCTTTCTATTAACCTTCTATACTGACTAGGATCGCCCAAGGCTTGTCCTTCCTCACCATTCAACTTCAAATTTTGTTCCATAGGGAATTGGACAGACTTACCATCAAGAAGCCCACAGTGCTGTAGAATTTCCAGCGTGTATTTCCTTTGGCAAATGAAAATACCTTGCTTGGATTGGGCAACTTCTATGCCTAGGAAATATTTCAACTTTCCAAGGTCCTTTAATTTAAAATGATCCGCCAAATATTGCTTTAGCTTCTGTATCTCTTCTTCGTTGTCTCCTGCAATCACCATATCATCAACGTATACAAGCATTACAGTAAAAGAGGACTTAGTTTTCTTGGTAAAGAGTGAATAATCTGCTTTGGATTGGATAAAACCAATCTTGGTGATAACAGATGTGAGTTTTTGATTCCATTGACGAGAGGCTTGTTTCAAGCCATAAAGAGACCTCTTGAGCTTACATACTCGCCTATCTCCTTCTTTACCATATCCTGGAGGCAGATTCATGTATACTTCCTCATCCAATTCTCCATAGAGGAAAGCATTATTAACATCAAGATGATGGAGAGACCAATTTTTACATGCGGCAATAGACAGAAGACATCTCACAATTGGCATTTTGGCAACAGGGGAGAAGGTTTCAAAGTAATCTTCTCCTTCTATTTGAGTGTAGCCCTTTGTCACCAATCTAACCTTGTGTCGTTCAATACTACCATCTGCTTTGTATTTTGTTTTGTAGATCCATTTGCAACCGACTGGTTTCCTCCCTGGAGGTAGGTTGGTCAATTCCCACGTTTCATTTTCTTCAAGAGTTTGAATTTCAGCATTCATGGCACTCCTCCAATGTAAGAATTTCTGGACTTCTTTAAAGGTGTGAGGGTCTGGCTCAAGGGTGATGGACAAAGTATATTTCAAATGTGCAGGTGAGAGTTTAGAGTAATTAAGAACTGAAGCAAGAGAATAATTGTTACCTTTAGGAGCTGTTACATCAGAAGGAAGAGTGCTCGAAGTTGCCAAGGAAGTTGCCAACCTGCAATGAAAATCTTTGAGGTATTCGGGTCTATTTCTGATTCTAGTGGATCTACGGGGTTCTTGGGGACAAGGTGGTTCAACAATTGGGTGAGGAGATGAATCAATAGCTTCTGAAGTAAGAGATTCCTCATGATTATGGTTATCAATTTCAAGTGCGGTTTCCAGTAAAAAATTGGAATTGTCATTTGTTTGTGAAGGTTGGATCAAAAATTTCTGAAATAGGATTTGGTATAACTGGAACATCATCTAGAACAATGATTTCAGGTGTTGGGAGCAGAGAAGACAAGTTGCTGTTTTGCTGAAAATGAAATGTGTCTTCATAAAAGATCACATCTCGACTAGTTATGGTTTCTCTCGTTTTCAAGTCAAAAACTTTGTAACCTTTGATTCCATTTGGATATCCAATGAACACACATTTTCAGGCTCTAGGATCAAACTTATTTTCGTGAGGATCGAGATTGGATGCATAACATAAACACCCTAATGTTCTTAAGTGAGAATAGTCAAGTGTTTTCCCAAAAAGAAGTTGGTAAGGACTTTGATTTTTCAAATTTGGTGAGGGTGTTCTGTTTATGAGATAAGCAGCAGTTAGAATACACTCTCCCCAAAATTTTAAAGGTAGGCTAGCTTGAAAACGTAAAGCCCTTGCTACGTTCAACAAGTGTAAGTGTTTTCTTTCTACAACCGAGTTTTGTTGTGGTGTGTACACACAACTTTGTTGGTGTAGCACTCCTCTTTTGGCAAAATATTCTGTCATGTTAAACTCCTTTCCTTGATCTGATCTTACAGCCTTTATTTTGTATTTGAACTGATTCTCAGTGAGGTTAAAAAAACTTTCAATGATGTTTCTGGTTTGACTTTTGTTTGTCATGAGATAAACCCATGTAGTTCGGCTGTGATCATCAACAATTGTGAGAAAGTAGTGTGATCCATTCAATGATGCAACAGAGAAAGGGCCCCAAATATCAAGGTGTATTAAATCAAAAACAGTTTCTACAAAATGGTACCTAGAGGGAAACGGTAATCTGGTCTGTTTTCCCATATGGCAAGCATCACAAAAATTTTTTGCATCAAACCTAGGAATACTAGAGTCCATGCTATGCAGTAAATTCATCCTTTGATCAGAGGGATGTCCCATTCTAAGATGCCAAAGCTTAGTTGTCAAAATGGAGTTTGATAGGGCAGCAAAATGATTGGTTCGGGGCTGGTCCAGTTGCAGATGATAGAGACCTTAGACTTCCTTAGCAACTCCAATCATCTCCTTGGTTACCAGCTCCTGTATGTAACAATAACTAGCAAGGAAAACACAATGACAGTTTAGGTCTTTGGTTAATTTACTTGTGGAAATAAGATTAAAATTGAAGAGTGGAACATAGAGAACATCTGTGAGAGTGAGGGCAGGTGAGATGACAACAGTTCCTGTGTGAGTAACAGGTGTGGATGTCCCATTTGGCAGTCTTACTGAAGTGTTTTTGATGGCTCTTTTATGCATTAATAAATCCAGAGAACCAACTATGTGGACTGTAGCTCCTGAATCTGAAATCCACGTGTATGGTTCATTGAAAACATTTGTGCAGCTTAAACAGTGTTTAGAGACAACTAATGAAGTTTGTTTGAGATTACCTGAGGTGCTTGAAGGATGGTCACCTAAGAGTTCTGTGTTGGATTTTATGGTGTTCGTATTCTGACCTTGAAGGAGTGCTATGAGCTTATGTATCTGCTCCTGAGAAATGCTAAGAGTGGAAGATTTCCTTGAGTCATCATGAGTACCCATCAAATTTACAGCCTTGTAATCCTTAGAACAAAATGACGGTTTGTGGAGCTTGTGGTTGGGAGGATATCCATGGATTTCCCAGCATGCGTCCACGGTATGGTTAGTCCTCCTACATTTGCCGCACGGTGCTTTATTCTTTGATGGAGGTGATCTGGTTCTTCCCTTCTGATGTTGTTTGACTGTTCCTCTTGGTCCATAATATTTTCCTCTATATGCAAGCGTAGCTGAGGCCTCATGGATCTTTTGAATGCTTTCAGTTAACTCATGGCTGGATTCTTCATGCAGTACCAAGTTGAAGATGCTATCAAGTGATGGTAGTGGATCCTTAAGGAGGATTTGATTTCTTAATCCAGTATAGATCTCATCCAAGCCCATCAAGAATTGCATTATCTGTCTTTTCTCCTGCCTTTTATTGATGATGCTGATGGCACCACAATCAGTAAAAGGATCCTCATACCTGGATATCTCTTCCCATATCAGTTTCATTTTTGAAAAATAAACACTAACTGGGTTTTTTTTCTTGTTTTGGGGTGGTCAGTTGTTGTTCCAGCAAGAAGATACGATTATTGCTTGACTTAGCAAATCATTTCTTCAGTTTTCCCCACACTTGTACTGCAGAATCTGAGTACATCACATATCCAGCTATTTCAGGTGATAGGCTATTTGTGATCCATGATAAAATCATATGGTTACATCTCTGCCATTAGGGGTATTGGGAGCTTGTTTCAGCTGGCTGTTTAACTGTGCCATCCACAAACCCCAGCTTGTTTTTGGCAGACAAGGCCACATACATGGCTCTGCTCCAGGTATGATAGTTCTGAGGGGTGAGAGGTTGTGAGACCAATATCAGTCCAGGACTCTCTCCATGGTGAAGAAAGAGTGGGTTGGAAGCTGGATCTTCTTTGGAGTTGAGTGGATCGGTTGGATTTATAGTTTCATCACTTGAATTAGTCATGGTGGGAGTTAATGTGTTGGTGGAATGGATGGAGAATCAGGATCAGTAGAGGTTTAATACTCAAGCTCTGATACCATATCAAAAAAAGAAGGAGAAAACATGAGAAGAAATGGTTACCAGAAAGCTGTGAACTGGTGGAAGAAAAATCTGATCTGTTTTCTTTTTGTTCATTACTTTAAATATACAAGGTAGTAGCGTTATGTGTCTATTCCAACATACCTTTTATCCTGAAATTCAGGGATTACATAAAAAAATATAGACTAAATATGACAGTTATTGAACCAGCAGTGCAACTATCCTCTCTCTTTCCAATGACCCGTGCCTTCTGCAGCATCAAAAATTCAAACATTTTCTCAATATCTATATATAATCAACGTGTCTTGTCAATCTGTTTTGAAAAATCGTGTGTCGATGTATCCGACACGATATGTGTCCTCAGTGCATCATAGATACATAATGTGAATTCACAATATGCCGTAAAAAAGAAAAAAAAAACAACAATTTGGGGACAAATCCCAAGCAGGGCATTATATTTGCAGCCGAAAAAAAAAAAAAGCAGAATGCAATTCAACTCAAATCAGATATCAAGAGTCATTCCAATAAAATATTGTCTCACCACATCCTTCTTTGGCTCAAATGATTTTGAGATCATGTCTGGAATGTATAGTCAGCTGCCAAAATGATTAGGGAGTGATTCATTTGATTTCGACTTGCCTGTTTACCTATCATGAATCAGTAAACTATTCACTCTAACCTCAAAGAGCCAATTTTGCTAACCTCAAATCTTTCTTGATTCTTATGTGTGCTTTTTAAAAATAATTGAGAGTTTACATGACATGACAAGGAGTTAAGTCATACTCGAAATAAAGAAGGTCAGCTACATCAATACTTTTTCCTCAACTTGCTGGATCCAAAACTACTATCGGTCTTAAAAGGGGACATCTTCTGCGACCATGCCAGACCTTGTTGCTTTTGGTATACATCGTCCTCCTAGAACTACTCCACTGAGTCATATCACTCTTTTGAAAAGGCGCTTCTTTAATATTTAGACTATGCCAGTGGCGCCCCAAAAAAACAGGTTATTTTCTTAAGTTTTCATCAAATGGTACCACCTCTACTTTTTTGTGCATGTCCTCCTTATTATATTCTTAATTGATGCCCCAACAAATTCTCAACCCCCCGGGTCTCTCCCTCAAATAACATCCTTGGTTTACATTTACCATTAGATGATATTTAAACGTCCACCCTGTAATTAGAATACCTCGGCTGATTTTAATATAGCTATTTTGCATATACTTCTATTTTAGTTCTAAGAAAAACTAAAGCAACAACAATTCTTTTACACAAGCATTTAAGATGCCTCTCACAGCCTTATTATTTCTAGTTGCAAGAATAGACAGATAAATTGTAAGACAACGATTAAATACTTACAAGTGTAGGATTTTCATCCAGAGCTGATGTTTAGAAATCAACTCTCTCTTCAAACCTAATTCCCAATGGCTTCTCGTAGTCCTCTCTTGTCAGTCTCAATGCTTGTTCTGCTACTTTCTCGTCAAAATGTCCTTTTATTTATCAGCAAATGGTTTTCCCCCACAATTTCAATCTAGAAGTAGCTCTAGTCTGATTTTTTACTCTTCAAAGTTGAAAATGTTAAAAGTAATCTTTTTGGAGTAAGGGTAAGCTTATGTTTTGCTTTGTTAGTTGATTCACGATGCTTTTATTGATTGCTTCTCTAAATTATGTCAACGAAAGGTGATGTGCTTTCTGGAATTACTTCAAGTGGAATTCATGATGTTGTTGTTCTTGAAGCTTCATTTCGACAGCATTGGTTGAAAGGAAGATTTTTGTTCTTTTCACTACCCTGGCTATATTTGCACCATTGACCTGTTGAAAACAATCAGCTTTTGAAATGATCATCTTGCTAGATAGAGGATTTGCGAAAAAATAATATGCTCCCAAGATTGTTGAATAATCCAATAAATCTTAAACTACCTTTTTTTAACATCTACAATTTCTACACTAATAAAAATACAGCAAATATAAAATGCGTGCAACGCACATGTCAATGACTAGTCTTTTGAGAATTTGATATTAAAACGTTAAAAAATAAAATAAAATAAAATTGTGAGTCTGACAGATTTTGTGGTTGAAAATAATTTTAGAAAAATCCGTGCCAAACGAGCCATAGACATCATTCTATTTAATAAAAAAAAATAGACAGTAAAATCTCAAATTGAATAATGTATATAACACAAATATACTTACACAAGGTTGCTTTATCTCCTTCAAAAGTGGGTCATGATCTAAAGCTTGAAATTTTAAATTGAATAATGTTATGTAGTATCATTGATGCATACACAAGATTGCTTTCAAAAGTAGGTAATAACTTAAACAAGATGTTAAATGGCTTTGGAGTTTTATTATCCAACTTTGCTATGTTTGAGCCTGGTCCATTTTTCGAGGAAAAAATTAATCGTGATTTTTTTTTGAAAATATTTGACTAAAAAGTAGAAAAAAGTTTAATGTTTTTTTGTAAGATTATTTCATTGGAAGAATATGTTATTAAAAAATAAGTTTGAAGAAAAATGAGTCATTGGAGAATGGGGTTCAAAAGTCACATATTTATATAGTTCGAGGACACAAAACTATACTAAATAAAGATGAAGGAGTCCAATCTTTATTTTTTTAAACCAAGAAAATTGAATTGCAAACCAAGTTATGTTAGCATGTTGTTTTTCTATTTGTTAACTCTTACATTGACATGTCAAATTTTTGCTTGAATAGTAATTCCTTTTAATTTTGCATGTAGAAATTAAACTACGTGGTAACCACGCAAACTTGTGAAATTTCCCAAATAAAAAAGTGAAAAAATATCTATAAAATATCCAAACAAATGCGCAAAAAGTTAAAGGTGACAGAGAATTTATTCATGCTACAGTGACAGTGGAAAAATCCATTTATTTATGTCCATATTCAGACAATGGCACACCGCACACGGATACATCACAGTTCACGCATCGCACTGGACTGGGCAAACCAACCCCATTTCGACATTTCTCCCTCCTCCTCACCCTCTAATTATTGCATTCTTGAACTAGTAATTCTCATGCTCTGTTTCTTGAGTAGGCAGGTCACAGAGGCACACCCAACCTTTTGAATCTTACAATGGGACTAGGAAATTTGATGTATTTTTGGGTTGTGGCAGCAAATTTGCTTGTGTTTTGTGGGTCTTGGGCAAATGGTAAAGACAGCAGTGTTTGGGCAGTAAGAGACCCGGACATGAACAGGGATGGGCTGAGAGTTGCCTTTGAAGCTTGGAATTTCTGCAATGAAGTGGGCGAAGAAGCCCCTGGAATGGCTAGCCCAAGAGCTGCTGATTGCTTTGATCTTTCAGTGGAAAATGGTGACAAATATTCTTTGTTTTTGGAACTTAAAAGCATATTTTATTACATGGGTATTGGTTGTCCTATCTGTTTTCATTTTGTCGTGGTTTGATTTTCAAACCATTCTCTGATTCACAAAGTGACTGAGGGGGATAACAAACTTGGCATTGGGAAGCCATTCCCAGGTTTGAATATAAAAGCACTGAACAATCCAGACCTGTATGCAGCGGAGAAGGAAATATATTTGGGTTCATTGTGTCAAGTTTCAGACACACCAAAACCATGGCAATTTTGGATGTTCATGTTGAAAAATGGAAATTATGACACTAAATCTGGTCTGTGTCCTGAAAATGGGAAAAAAGTACCACCATTTAATCCAGGAAGATTTTCATGTTTTTGAAGTGGATGTATGAATCTGCCTGTCTTTTACCATCAGCCCACAAGTTTAGACGGAAATGGCATAATGAAAGGAGGTTTTAATGGTACTTATGAATTGGATTCAAATTCTGATGCTGGAAATTCTTACTTTGAGGTTGTCTGGGAGAAAAAAGTTGGTTCTGGGAGTTAGGTTGTTGCTCATAAACTCAGGACCTCCAAAAAGTATCCATGGCTTATGTTGTACCTAAGAGCTAATGCAACTAAAGGATACTCCGGTGGCTACCATTATTGACACGACCCCATCTCGAGTCACCCTAGTGAACCCAGACATGCGCCGATGATGAGTTCCAGCTAGATGCTGGACCCACCACCAAGGCCACATAGACTGTTCTACGACTGTTTGACTATTTTATGAATACAATATTTTTTGTAAAAATTTTAACAGAGTTCCCCCTATAAAAAGAACAAAACCAACCTGAAAATCAACAAAGGACCTCATATACCTCATATGTTCTAATACTAAATATTTGGGAACCACCAATTTCACCGCAACTATATCAATATGAATTTAAACTTGATTGAACACTTCTACTACAAAACACCATGTCTGTATGCATGCATTACAACAATTGAACAACCCATCAATGAAGTGAACATTAAACCAAATATTAGACCAAGTGTTTTATGAACATGAGTCCCCAACTAAACATTTACATGTTTTGATATTGTTAAGATCATGCAACCTAATGATGGATAGTCAGGCTCTTGACTCCAGCAGGATTTTCGAGTATCTCAAATTCAAAGGCCTCCTGATAAGAAAAACATGATAAAATATATGAGCTTGTAACTCAGTGAGTGGATAGTTCGCAATAACATGTACTTTATCCATTTATACATTTTTACTGAAAAATCTGATTTATTTTTCTTATCGTTTTAAGAAATTCTGATAATTGCTTTTATAACTAAAACATGCTAAAATTATAAAATTCATACTTTTTATTCTGAATAACTAACTGTAAAAATATGTCAAGTATAGACAATCCGGTATCAACATAAATCTGTGTAAAGTTGTCATTTCTGTAACTGAATAAACTGAATTCTATATGCTGAAATGAACTATTATCTGATATTTGAAATTCTGTGAATCTACAACTGAATATACATAAATGATATACTAAATAATCACACCAAGAAGTACCCAATGAATAGTCTTACACATGTACAGAGTAATCTCGATGTATAAGGCAAAGCCATTCAAATCTGATAATCTGTTCATACGTACGCAGAGTTGTCCTAAAGGCTAATCACCCTAGTACACGGCCCAAAGCTTATGTGTGTACGAGAGTGGGTCCCAAAGACCTCTGATAATCTGGTCATACACTGTGGAAACACATTCACATCAGTGTAGAGCGGGTAAAATCACTGAATCTAGTTATATACTGTGGAAACACATTCACATCAGTGCAGAGCGGGTAAAATTACCTGAGTATTTTCTGATGGTTTTAAAATAACTTTAAATATGCTGAAATATGTAATATGAATATAACATTCTTGAGAAATAATTTCAATAAACTTGATTTAACTTTAAAAGGAAATTGACTATAAAATCCGTTTGATTTTGGAAACCATGCTGTCAAATTAAACATATGTGGTAATTAACTTTCGGATATAGTATATATTTAATAAGTATTTATTTTTGAAAAATAAGATTTTTCACTCACAAAATACGAGCTACAAGCTAGACTGGTTGATAAACATTTCCAATCTTCTCGTCACCACCTGAAATACGATATGAATAATCAATTTAACAACCAGCATAATAAGTAGTCTTAATATTAAAATACAAGCTCCTAGAACTTAATTCCTCCTTACTAAAAAAAATCCCCAAATTGTTCATTTAATCAATTAGAGCTAATATTACTTTCTAATCCATTTACTAATGACCAACTCATCAACATAACCTTCAATCTGAGCATATAAGGAAATACCCACTTCAATCTAGTGATGACTAGTAATAATAATTCCTCCCATTAAATTTTCCTCTTCATCCATAAATTTATACTTCCAAGTAAATATTTTATCATAACAATCATTTCCACCAAATATCCTTACTTCAGAATCAAATTAGAAATTCTAGGGTTTGCCCAAAAATAGAGTTTCTTACCTTAAATGTAAATGGAAGCTAACCATGAAGAAACTTGAACTAACAATCATAATCTTTTCCCTACATTAAAAATTTCGAACCAAGATTAAAATCCTAGAAAATAGACATAATGAATTCCTTTCTCTCTCGACAAAAATAATATAAATTAAACCCAAAATTGAGGAAAATAATACTTACTTCTTCTTTTCTTTTCTTTTCTTCCCTTCCTTTTATTCTTCTTCTATCTCCCTTCCTTCTCTCTCTCTCGGTTCTTCTCTGTCGGTGTATGTGTGTAAAATGAAAAGGGAATGGTCTAGAATATGCTAATTATTGGAACATTAAGTTATAATTGCAAAGGAAGTCCCCACTTATCATTAAATGTATAAGTGAATCCTTAACTATAAATCTCATNCTTAACTTCCCAAGATAATATAAGTCCTTAACACCAAATATCCATCTTAACCCTCATATGTTATCAATTATGAAATAAGTCTCAAGAAAATTAATTTGCTTCACTTAAGTCCCATTTGACTATGACTGGGACAATTCCATATTTGACTTTTGACCAAAAGAAAATGGATTGCAACCATTATGACACTAGAGGAATGTTCAAAACTGTAAGTATTAATTATGTCAAATATAATGCTTGCTAACTTTCGGTTTGTTATGTTGTCAAATTTTTGTACCTTGCATAATATCCATTTCGAGGTCGACTTTGCTGATATGGAAATTCACTAATAAACTGTTATTTTTGTATTCAAAGCTCGAATTAAAATTTCAAGTTGTAATCATATCTAAATCTGCATTTAGTTGTGGTCAATGACGAGAAGAACTTTAATTCGTTGGGTTTCAACTAGGACAAGATTTAGCTCTTGAAATCAAAATCAATTTTTGTTAAATCAGACATTCTTTTAATAAAATAATTTTTCGCGTGAATTCATAACCTTTTCTACATTTTAATCATACATTTTCCAAAAAATCAATTTTCATCACTTATAGAAGAATCAAAAATCAAATAAGGGTCTAATGCGAAGAGACATTGAAACTGTAATATGTTACCAAACGTAGAAAAACAGATTAGTCCACACGGAATGAATATTTTTGGAAGAAAACATAATTAGGTGTTGGACTTCTGTCACTATACTCATTCGAATCACCCGTATAAGATTAATGTTCATGATTAAACTGTCCCCACACTCGTAATAATTTGCAAATTGAAGTCAAAATTTGCCTGCTATCTTCTTATTATTGTTAATAATTACGTATTTTTTACTTAACAAAGAAGTAATTAGTCTACAAATATTTTTGGGTAAAATGCTGTCATTATTACAACAATTGCAGTTGCATTCCAGCTTCTAGAGTCTCCTAATTTCAAGGTCAGATTAACTTTAGACATCAAACAAGGGGGAAGCCCTAGGAGCCAGTTTTACTTGATTGATATTGGCAGCTGCTGGAAGATCAATGGTGCGCCCTGTGATCGAGACATGCTTACTGATGCAACCAGATACAATGAGATGATTATTGATAAGTGTGTTTTGCACACTTATTTAGATCACAAAATATGGAAAATTGTTGATGTATATGATGAAATATGACTTAATTTGATAAAATTTGTGTTTGTAAGATTACATTGATGGATGGAATGAAGAATACGAGAAAATGAATGAAAAAGGACCAAAATGGAAGAACATGAAACTTTGAAGACCAAAATGCAATTATTCAGAAGATGATTCAAATGGTGAATCAAGCATGAAATTGAGTTAAGTAACATATTGTGATATCATGAGATGTTAGAAGAAGGAGGAGAAGGAATCAAAGCCAAAAAGGTGGATGAAACAAACTTGGGGATCAAAGTGAATCAAAAGGAAAATAATTTTTACCATATAGTCGCATGGTAGAAAGTCCATGTAGTCGCCCAAACATCTATAGGAGATGAATAGTAAAATTTTTTTAGGGTTATGCTACGTGTACATAATTTTTTACCTAATCTTTTACACCCCACTCACATTTGGAAGTGGGGACCACGAGCCGCATTTTTTTAAAAACATGGGCCCCGCCGCATTTGTGAGGGGGGGGGGGGGCACCATTCGATCACCCCCCTTCGGTACATCCGGATAAACCCAATTTTTTATAACCATGATGTCGCATGGGTTTATACCATGCAGTCGCATGGTTCATTCCGGGCGCAAATTTTTTGCTTTCTTTATTTGAATCAAACATTTATGGTAACGCATTTAGAACTCCTTTATAACCCTAATTTCATCCAAAAAGAGGGGCTACGCATTTTTACACAATTGAAGAGCAAGGAAGAGGGCGAGAACAAAGGATTTCATTCAAAATTTAAGATTTCAACCATAATTCTTAGTTTTTGGGTGATGTCTTCTTTTTATTATTTTTTATTGTTATTTTATTTTATCCATATTATGCTAGACTTTTTATATACTAGGTGAATGATGAACCTCACATTGTGATCTTTTAATTTCTATTTTACAATTTGATAGTCAAACACGTTTGATGGGTGTTGAATGATTTATATACACTTTTTTGCCTCCATGATTATATTGTAGGATAATTGTGTGAATTTGAGTGGTTTATTTTATGCATTCGAAAGAAGGGAAATAAACTCAACAAGGTATAAATCATCGTTTTGTTCATAAATGATAGAAATATACCGATATGCATTACGTGAATTTTCAAGTGTTTACAAAACGTCATGCATTCTTGTATATTGCATTTGTCATAGAAATATAGTTAAATGGTATGTGAGAATATGTTCAATTCTACTCGAAAGAGATTGTTGAATAAGTTAGAAATATTGATTCTTCAACTAATTCATCGTGTTATCAAATTGTGAAATAGGAGTTAAAAGTGAACTTGTTTGATGATCTGGGATCCTAGTACGCTTTTTCATACATTAATTTTTTCAACTATTACATCTGCATTTAGTACGTAATTTTAGTTTAATTTACAAATTAGTCATAGTTCTATCATAAAATCACAAAAATAATCATATTGAGTTTAATAGATTCGGTTAAGGTCGCAATAATAGAAATCAAGTTAAATCAATCATCGTAAGAACGATATTCGAAATTTTACAATTTCCACTTTATTACTTGTTAACGAACCGTGCACTTGCGGTGATTTACAAAGCGAACATATTTTAATGAACAATTATCAGCCCAGAAATGCAGGCTTGGTGCAGCCCAACAAGTATCGGCAACTGCCCACCTTATCACATCACCCCGAATAACAGGAAAATTCACAGAAATGATCCTGCCAACTTCCCTTATGGAGCCTATCACTATTACTGCTCTCCCAGAAATACCAGCATTTGGAGCAACCAAACAGCACTTGTGATCCTTACAGTAATCCGCATGCTCAAGAATTGGTTCAGTTGTTACCTCATCCAATATGGGAAGAGTACGGCTATCCGACTAAACAGGGAGATGGTTGGATTGGAGATAAAAGAACTTGGGAGCTCGATGTGGGTGGACTTGCCAATAGACTTTACTTCTATCAGGTATATAATTTGAAATTTTTTTACAAATTCACAAAGCTAAATGTACATAGTGAAATTGCACGAGGCTCGGGAACAAATATGCTAACTTCTTTCTGTTTCAGGATCCAGGTACCACTCCTGCTAGAAGAGTATGGACATCTCTTGATGTGGGAACGGAAATTTTTGTGAGTACATAAGATGAAGTGGCGGAATGGAGTCTAACTGATTTTAACGTCATGCTTACTTAGCTAAAAGTATGACAACCAAGCAAAGATTAGCTCGAGCTTGAAGCGATAGTTCCTTAATGTCAGCATCATTGTTGAAAGTGATCAGCTTCTGGTTCTTTTCCTCTCAGCATATTAATATACATTACTGTAAGCAATTAACAGTTTCATTTGCCAATTTTTAATGTTCAAAGGTTCTTTATTTTAAAGCAATGCAGATGTTTATTGACAATAAATTTGACTAATTTAGTATTCTGCCATGTTGCAAGTTTAACAAAGTTATGCAGCATTTATTCCAATGTCTGCAACGAAAAACTGCACATCGTGGTCAATTTCGATTTTCACCCTAAATTAAACAAACGATACGGAAAGTTTGATATGTAGAATTCGCTAGTTCTATAGAAAAGATTTTGGATTTGTTTTTAGTAAGGCTATCCTACTATTTTGTTTGCTTCCCTTGGTTTCAATTTAAGCTACTTTCATGTAATTAGGTAATTAATTAACCACCTTCCATAGAAATATACCTATTTTTAGAGAATTGTTCTAAACCATAAATAGAGCTCAAATGTCGATAAGCCATTTATTATCAAACATTTCCATCGGCAAGAAGAGAATGAGCACCTATATAATCTCTCCCAACAACCTTAATTCTTTCATCCTCTTGCAACCTAGTCCTGGCAATTGAATTGAAGTTGTCAGGGAAAAAAATTAAATAGAAGGGGGCAGGAGGAAATTAAATATATATGTTATAATGGTGGGAAAAGTAGCGGTCTCCGTTGTATCCTTGATTCTTGTCGTTGGCGTTGTCATCGGTGTGGTGGCAGTTGTGCACCGCAATGACTCTTCCGACAATGATCAACATGATATGTCATCCTCAATGAAGGCCGTTACAACCATTTGTGCTCCAACATCATACAAGGATGCCTGTGTTAGGAGTCTTGAATCCATTGCAAATAATCGAACTGCCACCCCGAAGGACTACGTCATGGCCGCAATTCAGGCCACTCTTGACGAGGTGAAGAAATCATATGAGGTCACCGGCAAGACTATTGTTAACAAGGATGATGATCCTTACAATCACATGGCAGTCGAAGACTGTAAGGACTTGTTAGATGATGCTATCGATACACTTCAGGCATCGTATTCGTCAGTAGGTGACAGCGATATGCATACTCTCCAAGATCGTGCAAATGAACTTCGGAGTTGGATGACTGCTGTTTATGCCCTTCAGTCGTCATGCTTGGATCAAATTGAGAAGCCTGAGTACAAATCTGCCATTGAGAATGGCATGGTAAATGCTACTCAACTAACCCACAATGCCATAAACATAATTGCTGAGCTTTCTGAAGTCCTAAAGGCGTTCAATGTGCCAGCGAACCTGCAGCCTAACCGTCGTCTCTTGGAAACGGGAGAGATTGGCGAAGATGGCTACCCAACTTGGTTCGGGGCTGCAGACCGTAAGCTGCTGGAAGCACACAAGAGAGGCCATCATGTCAAACCTAATGCAGTTGTCGCCAAGGATGGTAGTGGCCAATTCAAGACAGTTGCATCTGCTATTGCAGCATACCCCAAAAACTTCAAAGGCAGATACACCATCTATGTAAAAGCCGGTATCTATACAGAGTTCATCACCATTGACAAGAAGAAGCCCAATGTTTTCATTTATGGTGATGGACCAGGGAAAACCATTATCACAGGCAAGAGAAACTATGGAATCATGAAGATTGGCACAATGAATACTGCAACATTCTGTAAGTCTCAATATACTTCCACCTTTATTTTCATTTTTTTGTCTGACAATCAGTGATACGAAAAGCAATTATATGTAGCTGCCGTTGGACAAGGATTCATTGCTAGGGGATTGACATTCCGCAACGACGCTGGTCCAGATGGCCACCAAGCTGTGGCTCTTCGTGTCCAATCTGATATGTCAGCTATCTTCGACTGCAGCATTGAGGGCTATCAAGATACATTGTACTATCACGCATTCCGTCAGTTTTACAGGAACTGTGTCATTTCTGGTACAGTGGACTTCATCTTCGGCATGGGAGATGCAGTTATTCAAAACAGCTTGATCATAGTGAGGAAGCCAAATGCCAATCAACAAAACACCATTACTGCAGATGGAAGAGAAGTCGCTAGGGGTAGCAATGGGTTGGTCCTCCAGAACTGCAGGATTGTTCCAGAAAAGGCACTCTTCCCATCGAGATTTAAATTTCCCACCTACCTTGGCCGCCCATGGAAGGCAAATGCTCTTACCGTTGTCATGCAAAGTGAGTTGGGTGATTTAATTCGGCCAGAGGGCTGGATGAAATGGGCCGGTGAGAACTTCCACCAAACTTGCGAGTTTTATGAGTTTGCAAACCGTGGCCCTGGATCCATCACCAATAGAAGAAGTAAAGAATTCAAACGTTTCAAAGTTCTCAATGCACGCGATGCAACAAAATACACTCCTGGCCAATTCCTTTCTGGTTTCCAATGGTTGAAGTACACACGTGTACCTTTCCAACTTGGGCTGTGAACATAAAACACATTAATGTAGGAATGTCATGAATTTAGGATCAAATTGTACCTTCAAAATTCTTCTTGGTTTATCATTTTTCATTCAATTATAATATGCTAGCCATTTCTGGCTTAGCAATTTTTTATATATCATCAAATGTATGGTATCAACTGAATATGTATTCATTAACTAACAATTAATAAATGAAATTTTTTAATTGATGTTTCGACCCACTTCACACCTAGAGAAAGTGAATAAGTGTTCCATGCGGAATTTATATTTATTAATAAATGTGTGAAGAAATGAAGAATACCTATAATTGTTTATGAAGGTAAAAATCCTTGAAGAACTTTTCAAGAGAAAAAAACCTCCGAGCACCTATGCCACCAAATGATTCACTATGAAAAGATTAAACTTATAGATATGGTCCAGGGCCAAAAAACTTTAGTAGATTCTGACCTCCATTCAGTAATTACCCAAAGAACTCCTCGGTTGTGCACTCGAGTACTTGTTCTAGAACCCCTGAATTTTTTTTCCATGTGGATCTCCAAGAATAAACTTGTTCTTCCTTAACCGAAACTCCAGTCTCACCTCTAATATCTATTAGAAATCTGGAGTTATATGATATATGATTTTGAGGTGTTTTGGTTTTTGGATGTGGATGAGAATTTTAATAATATTCAATTTCTTCAAATATCAAATCTTCTCTCTTTTTTTTTTCTTTTCTCTCAACACCCAATAGAAATACAAGTGCTTCTGTTGTTTATTAATTGTATTTCACAATTCTATGTGGTTTATGAGTGTTTCAAGGTTAAAATAAGAAAAATATGATTTTTCCAACTAGACAGGCGTTTGAGCACCTTCTGGACGTTCATCGAATTGACAAGTTTTGGAAAATTTGTTCGAGCATCTTTTACACGTTCATCAAGCACACATGTTCTACAAATTGTGCTTGAGCACCTTCGCTGGTAGTGCTTGGGCGGTAGGCAAGCTGCATTATTCCACTTTCTTGATTTTTGACGACATGCTCAACCAACTAACTGTTAACATAAGTAAACAAAACCTCAATTACAATCATTTTAATGAGTTTGGATTTGGATTTGCCAATACTTAAACCTAACAAACTCTCATTTGGTATTTCATGACAAAATCATTTACAAATACTACAAAAATTCAAATTCGAATCATTCACCAAGTTAGAATTTGACCAACCAAAAAATTTCCTCAATCACATTCCATCTCAAATGCCTTTTTATGCATGTTTCCAGAAACACAACATCTGAAACAACACCGTGTGAAATGCAAGAGAAAACTACAAGCATGAAATGAAAAAGTCATTAAATAGTTAAATAATGCAAGTATAGTTATGTAATAACAAAAAACACATGCAACATAGAATACCAATATGCTAATACCTGCAAAATGAAATTTAACTCATCATTTTACTATCCTACTTTTTGTCATGAATGATCAAAGGGGCACCCAAGAATCCAACTTTTTTTTTTTTCAAAAAATTCTACTATGTTCAAACATGGTTTGATAACAACTTATCAAATGAGCATTGATTACATCCAAAGAATAATCCGGTAGTTGTAGTGCAGTTTTGGAGTGTCGTATCCACAGGGAGATGGATGAATGAATCAGAGAATTCAATAATTTAGGGTTCTCGTGAATTGATCGAAAATAATTTGTTTATTGAATTAAAATGTGAATATCAATGGACGAAATAATGTGAGTAAAATCAAAATGTACAATAGTCAAGCGTCGAAATTCCTTCAATTGGGTTGGATTAATCAACATCAATAATTTATGCATTTTCTACTCAATTAGAAGTTTTTATCCTAACTCTCTAATAGGAGGATTTAGCAATTCAAATCAATTTAATTCCACATGTAATTCTAGAATTCAGATTTCCTATATCAAATTCCCGCTTTTGTTTATTGAAATCAGATTCAAAAAGTGACCATATATTTCTAACATATAGCAGTAATTGAATCACACCAATAACGTATTTGGAATTTAAACTCAAACCAATATTTCAATTATTCAAAGGAAGAAACGTGATTAATTCCATGAAAAACTTAATAAAAGTTAAGTCAAACTCAAAACTAATTCGTAAAGAGGAAATATAAACCCTAGAATTACTTAATCAATGAAAAAGCACATTACATGAATATATGATGTAGAAATCTCCAATTCCAATCGAATTCTTTCGTAGCTTCACCAAAAGATTTAGCTCTTCATGAGTTTCTTGAGTAAAAAGAGATGAAAGAATGATGAATAATGAGGAATGAGGCGTTCTCGAACGTTTTGGGGTATTTTGGGGTTCAGAAATCGTGGCACAATAAGTTACCATAATTGTTTGAGTCGAAGAAGGAAATTTGAGAATTCGGGCCTTCTTTATAACTATGCGACCTTGAGGTCGTAAGGAATATATGTTACAGCCTTTTTAGTTTGCTGAAAATAGCCATGCGGTCGCAAGGTATAATTCCTTGCGGAGCCATAGTTATAACGTTTTACCGCCGGACAGTTTTCAATATTTTGGTCGTATCTTCCTCTCCCTATGTCCGATTGTGGTAATTCAAGATGCATTGGAAAGATGACTCAAAGGGCTACAACTTTACTTCGATATCATCGTCTAATTTGATCGTTCACCATCTAAAAAATGGGTCTCGATACGAGGCTGAAATTGGTGCACAACTCTTTTCAATTGGAAATTGATGTGTGATCATGTTATGTTCGCATTTCATCCATTTGACTTCCTTTCTCGTCCGATTGATCTCTAACACCCTCAATCTTCACTCCATCGCCCTTCACATCTATGGATTATTTGTAACTTGGTCCCTGAACTTCAGTTTTCCTCCATTTTGGTCATTTTTCATTGTTTCTCTTTATTTCCGCTACATTCATCACTTTGTCCCGCAAAACGTAAGTTACATAGAATTAAGCTATATTCCAACATGTTAATCAACAATTTTCTATGTTTTGACAGTACGATAGTGTGTAAAAACGTACTTATCAAACTCCCCCAAACTTGAATCGTTACTTGTCCTCAAACAAAAGAATATAACTCGACTCTATGTATAACATGGTCCAACAACATTCCGTGTCTCAAGATTGAAATTCGGTAATCAAATAGATGAACGATTACAACAGTGCAAAAATTAAATAACCTATTACATGCATAACTCGACGTGCGTGTGAAAACTCATGTCAATATATTAAGATGGTGATTGGTTCAACACCTGACCCGTAGTAGTCAAATATATCCTTACCTTGCTCGAGAACACCCCCCTCAAACTTATGCTTTTCACTCAATTTTCTCGGGGTGCATCATAAGTCGAATTTATTCAATTCTATTCTTACTCTCTCTGAGTTTGGATAAACCTCACTCTTACAAGTTCACACTTCAACAAGTCGAGATTCTCCTATATTTTTTATTGCTTCAACCCTTAAAACTAAACTAAGTTACTTGCTTCTCATCAAATGTGTAGTTTTGTCAACATAACGCCTGGGGCTTAATCAACGGCTTTGAATATTTTTTTTTTCATTTTCATGTCTCTCCATTTTTTTTTTGAACACCATCTCATTTGCTTACAACCCATGTAGCGAGTTTTAGGCCGGTGACTACCAAGTCAGATGACCATAGGGCACCAAGTTTTAAAACACCCTCGTAGGCTTAATAACCCGAGTTATATAAGCTCGAAAAGATGCTTTTATTCACTCAAAGATTAGTGCAATGCCCCTTTTTCTTCTAGGCATTCAGTTTCTAAAACTAACATCTAACTTAAAACTTTCACCTCCTTTTCATCTCATTGGGTTTTAGACAATCCACACGAGGGTTTCATGCATGGAATCCCTACTCGTCTCAATGTTTCCCTGTAACAGGTCAATCATCTCCAAACTAACATATAGTTGGATTATGGAGTAATATACAATAGAGGTTACTTGGGTTTAGTTACTACGTCCAACTATCCTCCACATAATGAACCGCATCATTAACTCAATATGACAAACATGAGTACCGCGCATAGAGAATGTCAAGTTTTACATTAACAGATTTAGATTAATCTAATACTACACTATTTTCATTATTCACAGCTGATACTTATTCTAATAATCACATCACAGCAGACATAGTTATCAAACCTACACAAGCACACAAATCAATAATTATAATATAATACTAAAAGATAAAAACTGAAAATAAATGATTTTTTTAGCACGCACAATCATGCAGAAATTGCAGTAAAATGACGAATGCGATACTTATGCTCACAACACAATCCAAATATGCAATTCACAACATCTTACCCCCAACCAAGTTTTGCGTTGTCCTCAATGCATAACATGAGTATCAAATGAAATGGAAGAAAGGTATCACCTGAGTATTGCAGTGAATGAACATAAGCTGGAAGAATCAGAAGCCTGAAAGTACTCAATGGAATGGTAATGCAAGGAACAAAATAAAACTAAAAGAAAATGCAAAACAAACTTAAAAATGAAAATTCTAAAATCTAATGTAAAGAAGAGTAAGGTGAAGGACGTGCGTAGAAGGCATCAATGACGGTAAATCGGGTTTGCAAGAGGAATTTCTTCCACCGCAAGCACCTGTTGCCCATAAGCTATCTTTAAACGTTGTCCATTCAATTTGAATACCCTACCATTTTTACGGTCCTCGATTTCAATAGTCCCATGTTCAAAAACTCGTTTCACCACAAAAGGCCAAGTCTACCTAGATCGAAGTTTCCCTAGATTCTTGTGAAGTCGAGAATCATACAAGTAAACATGCAGATTTGGTTCAAACGTTTTTCGAAGAATGTGTTTTATCATGGAACACTTTCATATTTGCCTTGTAGATTTTAGAATTCTGGTACGCTTCATTTCTATACTCGTCCAACTCGGTCAACCGAAGCTTCCGAAACTTACTACCCTCTTCTAGGTCAAAGTTAAAACGTTTGATGGCCCATTAGGTTCGGTGCTCGAGCTCTACAAGCAAATGGCACGATTTTCCAAAA